TTCCACGGAATCTTCTACCCAAAAAAAAAAATAATAGCAATGGAAACTGCGTGCGCGGGAAAAAGTCTCAAAAAACCTGCAGCCCCAGACAGGCGAGGCCTAGACAGCGGGACCACATGAGGTGCGCATATTCATCTATATCTCCCTTCTTTGTAACAGTCGAGGTCGACTTGATCCAATCCGCCATCTCCGTATCGGGTGCTGGGTACGCTCCGGAAACCCATCGGATGACTTTTCCTCCATGATCAAGGGTTGGTGATGAGTAGGGCTCCGACCCTACCATCTGATCTGATCGTGGTTAGCTTCATGATAATGGTGATAGGGGAATGTGTTGAGAGATGAAGACGATACAGGCGGCGAAAGCGATTGGGAATCCTCGTCGAAGTGAGGACTTTGTTACTCAATCTCGGCTCTGCAGGCTGTACAGTGAGAGCTGGAGGTTCGTAGGGGACACCACTGACAGGTGTCGAGAATAGCCCCCCTAAAACCCACAATAACCTCCTAGTGCCCACGACATATACCCGCTCATGTCTCCAATAGGTAGCCTGAAGCGCTACCATATTACCCATTCCAACCTCTAATATACACACAAGATCGTGTCTGGAACCTAGACGAAATGGAGGGCCCGTATGTCCACAACACCCTGTGTCTTCATTTCCAACAGGCTCCAATATTTTGGCCTCTCAAAGGACCTACTCGTTCAGACGACAATCCAATCTGCCTACAGTAAAATTAAGCTGCCCCAAAAATGGACAGGATATATTCGAGTAGTTAAAAGGAGGATATATCTTGCTCAATTTATGCAAATATACGGGGAACACCAGACCAAGAGGTCAAAGACAGAGGCAAAGAAGGTCACGGCACATCAAGAGTGTGCAAAATCCTGGCTCAAGCAAAAGCGAACTCAGGAGGCTCAGTGACTAGCAACTGCAGATTTCGAAACTTGGAGAGCGGCAAAATTTCAACAAAAAAGTATCCGGACGGCAAAAACGATGTCTGCAAGGCTCACCATCTTTTCTACATCGTAAACCGGCAAGGCTCCAAATTAGTTTGGCAATGCAAATTTGCAGTGAGCACATGGGGCTCAACTCGTATTTACGCAGAAGTAAAGTACCCGAAGTGTTCAGTCCAGGTTTTCTATGTGGTAAAGCAGGCTAATGTCTTATTTAGTTATAACCAGAGTTTATCCGGTTCATTTATCGAGTGGTCTTCGAGTGCATGGTTTGGCCGGATCCGGGAGTGGTGCAGAGGATAACTTACGCATAAATCCATACGCGACGCGTGATATTGAGTAAATAAGCAAACGGTTTTATTAGTTCTTCTTTCCTTATGCAGAATACAACTCAATTTACGACTCACCTGTGCGAGTAGCTAACGTGATCAGTCCCCGTCACATGTGGCTATCATTCACAGAACTTCGATCATATGATTATTTCCTTTACCGATTCCTCCTCATCTACTGCGTCGTGCAGTAGATTCATGTGTCCTCCCCATCGTTTACTACGCCTCAGAATCCTGGTGGCCAGGCAGATCTAGACAAGGTCCCACGGGACGCATATCAAACCGTGTAGATTCCCTACTACAACAGCTCTCCAAGGTCGTGCTTGCCTCTGCCCGCGCGACACTTCCAGTGTATCGCACCACACCAACAGCGATACTTCATCGCGAATCAGGGCTACAGCAGCCGGAAATAGCCCTTGATGGCCGTGCACTTGCAGCCACCGTCTGACTACGCCGTCTGGATCCTCGACACCCGCTCTTACGCCGTGCTAATAGAGTTCTCAGCTCACAGCGTGCTACCTCTCGATTTGCCCGACGTGTACTTTCACTCCCCAGATCAGAGCAAATCAATGCAATCGCTATTCCTCCTTGGAATCCACGTGAGAGCCGTGAAGCTGCACAATCTCGGGTGGCTGGTTCGAACAGTACCACTACAGAGGAAAACAAACAGTCCTTCCTTGACTTTCTTACGACCATCCCCTTCGGAGACATCATTATCTACTCGGATGGCTCTAAGCAACTAAACGGCTTGAGCGGCGCTGGCTTCATCGGATACCAAGGAGGCGTACAAGTCTTGCATCAAAGTCTTGCCCTTGGAAAAGGCGTCGAAGTTTTCGATGCGGAAGTAAAAGGTGCCCTAGAGGGGGCAAAGTCCGCACTAGCACTCCCAACTGCCAAATTCGCGACAGATCTATGGATTTGTCTAGATAATCTGGAAGTTGCCACTCGACTGTTATTCCCCTTTTCAGGGTCCTCACAAGCGCAATTTGACGAGTTCCTCACCTTAAATCCCAAATGGCAAGACCGCTCACGGCTGGCCCACACTAGACGGGGCCAAATCCGGGTCCGATGGGTCCCGAGTCACGCATCGATAGTTGGAAATGAAGCTGCGGACAAAGCAGCGAAAGATGGCTGCCAGTTACCAACTCCAGATGACGTCGCTTTCACATATGCGGGGCTAAAGCGCTGGGCAAAAGAGTCAACAACGCAAGCCTCTCGCAACCTCTGGAGAAATCTCCTTCCCCAGCACCTAGGCTACGAAAAGCTAGGAATAATATCAGCACCCACTAGGCCAAAAGAACTTGCCCTTCCGCGCGCCACTCTAGGTCGAATTCTAGCAGCTAGATCTGGGCACGGCGACTTCGCTGACTATCACGAGCGGTTCAATCATGAAAATGCATCAAATTACTGCCGATGTGGCCGTCGTAAGGCCCCACTACATTGCTTTTTCTGTCATATAGCGAAAAAAAGATCACGACTAATGCAGGGTCCGCCTTCGGAAATAATCCCGTTCATTCTTGGCACATATGAAGGAGGTCAAAGATTTGGAGAATGGCTACAGGAAACCCGATTCTTCACAGATATCTGCCCATAATCTTGAGGTTTCAAGTGTCGCGAAAAACCAGCAAACGAAGGAAGGAAGATAAGCAATCTAGACTCCTTTTTTTCTAATTTATTTTTCCGGTAGTGGAGGTCAACAGGGAGTGTGGGTTGACCTGCGCAGAGAATGGCGCCGAGCAAGTATCTTACCACCACAAATAAGAGCCTAACAAACTGCGGGAAGTAGCTATGTGAATGCACCTCCTTTATATGTTAAATAGTTTAATTTTGTTTTTTTGCTTTCCTTTAAAACATGTAGAAGCCCAGAGATTAAATCCTGGCGTCTTTTGTCTCAGTAGGGACTTAATATGGTTACTCGCTTGACGCGTGATCCGCCAGACGTTAAATAAAGATAAATAAAAAAATAAATTTCCTTTACCGATAGTCAAATTGTAGGGCGGATATCTAGAGAATGGCTCGAAATCAGTCGTATTAAGCCATGATAGACACCCCAGATATACAAAAAGAATTACACAACGGATCCTAGGCTAGATCAGATTAGATTTTGTAATAGTGTGGATCCTAGATAATGGTTGGATAGAGCAATTTCAGATGACAAATCCTGTTAAAATGCTGCTGAGAGAAAGTAATAGGTCAAGCAATTTTTTGGGTCGATATAGAAGATGTTGTTGACTTACATGGATGTCACTACAGTGTAATTGTGCTTCCTGCCGAACAAATGTAAAAACCAAAGACAAAAAGCAAAAAGGTCTGGGTATTCTATATCAGGAAAGGTTTACTCCCTTGTAAATTGTACAGTTCATAAACACCTGCATAGGCACACAGACACCCTCCGTACTCTGATAGGAGCTCGAGCACGAGTGGGGCTAAGCTGGTTCAGGTTGTATACCATATGAGTACATAAATCTCAACCCGCCTCAAACTTGACCCACGTATTGAACATGTCAACTTCAAGCGTTCAGAGAACCTGCCTTTGACGCGTCGAAACGCAATTTTCTCACTATCTCTAATTTATCTTTTCCAACCAGTTCGAGATGTATCTTGTCCAAGCATCTCCTCATACCATCCAAGGATCATTCTCTTCATTGGAGACCTCATCCTGTCGCCTACCGCGGTCTCCTCGGTTTTTCTTCCCCCACCATAGGCTCTTATTAACCCTTATGTCGTTATCGCCATCTCAGAAAATTTGTAGACTTTCATTTCCTTCAGCCTTGTCCCATCACTGCCGTACCCCTCACTGTAGAAGACGAATATGAGTCAAAGAGCTCAGGACCGAGGCACTAAAGTCTCAGCTTTTGTCGAATGCTCTAGTTGAAGTGCTGGCGATATATTTTGAGTACTTCGTCGGTGGCGATTCATCGCAGGTCGGGTTGTTGGTGCCCTTGACCGTGGTGTAGACGAAATGTAAGGCCGGTACTTCTACTGTGCCTTCACAGCATGCGACAGTTGCGGCAGAATAGATTTCATTTCTATCTCAGAATTCGAGTGTGGCCATTCGAAGTTGGAGTAGTTTGGGATGTGGTGATATGATTGTGAGAGGGTCGCGCGAAGAATTGGGTTGAAAAAGATATTCCAGGAAAATAGGAAAAAGTGAAGATTGTCAGTTTTTTTGATCAGACATCAGACAAGTTTTATCCTGTCTGCGGTTCGTATTTGGTGTGTAAACGTTTGAATACGATGGGTTGTGCGGTTGTGAAATATCAGCAGGTCGGGTTTTCGACCAAAAACTTCTCTACACCACTTATCCTGATGGTCATCCCGACGGAAACCTTCAAATTTACCCATTATAGTAACTAGATCTAGGCTCAGACGGCACTAGTTCACCCCAAGTTCGAAGAGGATACTAATAGTTGGTGATCAGCATTCGTACCCCGCCATCGAACTACTTAAAGTGGCCTGTGCATGTGATTGCAATGCGACCAGCATACTCCATGATTCAAGTGCGATGATACTGTCAGGTGACTCGCCACAAACTAAAGCGGATGAAATGCGTCATAAGACTCAGCTGATAACATATCTATCGATGAAGTACACTGTACAGCAACTCGCGAAAAATCCGAACCCAGAATTCAGCGAGGAAATGACCCATGAGAAGTCTATGAAATATCCACAGCTAAAGCCTATCAGACCGTTTTCAAAAAGCAGCTGGCAACTTCACTATGACGTCTCAACCTAGCCCCTCTAAGGCGGGAATTTTTCATTACTCCAATAAAAATAACGCTCACCAAGATACTGATCGCGATGAATCAACGAGTAAAAGTTTTGATAAAGAGGCGAATCTCTTGTACTCGAAGAGCAAGGCGAGTTTGACCTATGACAACCCAAATTCTTCCTCGGAGGTCCTCAGTAGCGGGGAATTGTCATGCTTCTAAACACTAGCTTATCTATTCACAAGAATAGGTCTACCTACATCCCACATCATCAGCAAAAGATAATATTCCAGGATATCTAGCTCTTCTTTACGAGGGATCTTCCGCTGATTTGCACCCGATACCTTCTACCCCACAAGATAAGGACCTCTTTCTTCTTGCCTGGCTTCCTGAACATACTCTCGGCGATACTGCTGATATTTACGCACAAGTTGATCTCATGGAGGATCTGCCACATATAACAAATTCATTTCTTGTGCCCAGACCACCTATAACCTTAAACCTCACATCAATAGGATATTCTGCCTTTGCAGTGCCACTTTCATCTATTTACAGTTTGTTTATACGTCCGCCTAGCCCAGGATGGTGGTTTGGTAGTCTAATTATCAATTCAAAAACCGGATATTCTTTTCCAGCTCTATTTTTTCACGACTCAGAGTGCCAAAGCACCATAGCACAGAAAAAAAAACTAGTTCGAGAGAATTTCGACCCATTTGGAGTGCAAAGTGAAATATTCTGGGGTGGTAGTGAAGTGCTTAGATGGCTGAACCAATATATCGATGTTCAAAGAAGTTCCGCGGAGCCAAATACCTATCTTGTTGATGCAACTGATGAAGACCGGCAAGCTTTTGGGGGGGAGTCAGTAACACCTAGCGTCTCAACATCAAAATCAAGGGAGAAAAGAAATTTATACGCGGCAGACTTCAATTCGAATCAAACTCTGACCCCACGGGATATCCAGTCAGACCCATTGTCCAAGTTTGTCAAAGGAGCAGCGTGGAACCTTATGGAGAAACTTAGCAGGGTAACAACTTTTGCTCGTAGAACTACTGACTCTGTAGTTGAAAATCCAAATATCCCACCTCAAGTAAGGAGGCTTCTTCGAAATCCAGAGGTGCAGACACTACAAGACGAATTTGATAGTGCAAGAGTATATCTTGCGAGATGGGCCATGGGAATAGTTGAACAAAGTGAACGAGACAGAAATTCAAGAATCTGCATGGCTAAAGAGGTATTAGAAATTGAGGCAACAGATGTCGGTGATTTTGAGCTCTTAAATGCTGAAAAAGAAGCTCTAAGCTCACAAGGAAAGCGCAAAATTGTGACGCTCAAAGATTGGAATAGTTTCTTTGACTCAAAAACCGGAAAATTAAATTACACGGTGGAAGAAGTTAAGGAACGAATATTTTACGGTGGTCTTAATGCTGAAGATGATGTTAGAAAGGAGGCCTGGCTCTTTCTACTCGGTATTTATAGTTGGGACTCTACCAAGCAGGAACGAAAGGCTAAAGCAGATCATCTAATGGATCAATATGTGAAGTTGAAAGGAGCCTGGTGGAAGCGCCTCGTCAATGAAGGTGATGAAGGCGAAACAGGTGAGTGGTGGCGTGAGCAAAAATGCAGAATAGGTGCGTCTTCAGAGCTCTCTTACGATTATCAAAGTCGATAATTAGGTTAAAATAATTCGATTTGCTGACAAAATCCGGAATGTGGGGTCTTCTTATAGAAAAAGATGTTCATCGAACTGATCGATCCGTGCCATTATTTGCAGGAGAGGATATCCCTCACCCCGATCCAATGAGCCCTTTCGCAGATGTCGGAACTAATGTTCATCTCGAACAACTAAAACACATGCTCCTCACTTACAATGAATACAACAGCGAATTAGGGTATGTTCAAGGCATGTCTGATTTACTTGCTCCGTTATATGCTGTATTACAAGATGATGCAATTGCTTTTTGGGCATTCACAAATTTTATGACAAGAATGGAGCAGAATTTCCTCCGGGATCAGTCTGGAATGCGGAGACAGCTACTTACTTTGGATCATCTAGTCCAATTAATGGATCCTAAACTATATTTGCACCTTCAGTCTGCAGATAGCACAAACTTTTTTTTCTTTTTTAGAATGCTACTAGTATGGTTCAAGAGAGAATTCTCTTGGGAAGACGTATTAAGGTTATGGGAGTGTTTGTTCACTGACTACTTAACCTCGAACTTTCATCTTTTTGTGGCTCTCGCCATATTGGAGAAGCATAGAGATGTTATCATGGAGCACCTAAAACGATTTGACGAAGTGTTGAAATATGGTATTTAAACCCCACTCCACCCAATTTTTTTCCTAACCACGATCATAGTCAATGAATTATCATCGACAATAGATCTTGATTCCACTCTTATTCGTGCTGAGAAACTATTCCGTCGTTTCCAAAGACTTGTAGAATCTATTGACAAGAGAGCAAACTTTCCTGCTCCGCAAGTACGCCGCCGCATCATTGCATCCGAACCGTTGAATAAGGCATCAGTATCTACATCTAATGCTAGCAGTAGCGGTATTGATCCTGCAGATGCTAAATTTTATAACCCAAGTATGAGAGGTCAGGATAACTTGGAGTTGGAAGAGAGCAAACTTAAAAAACAAGATAGAAAATTTAGTGACAGTGAGCCTGACAAGATAATAGAGATAGATGAGGGGCCCCAAATCATCAGTCCGGAATTACGTCAACTTTTAAGCAGGGAAACCATAGTTGTTCCAAAAAATGTAACGACGAATAATGGAAGTTAGTTAAGTTGTAGGGCAGTAATGATAGTATGAACTTCACTTTTGGCAGTTTGTAGCGGGATGAAGTTAATTAAAGGTGAGCTAATGAAGAATTGGTTACATTATGATGTCTTCTCAACAAATAATGAGTTTACAACTATGAAAGGGGTACATTTGGAGTTATTCTTTAGGTTTTTATTGTACTACTTGGGTCAAGTCTATCTAGTACATTGGGCTGCTTCCTGACCCAGGCCACACCTTGAATAGTTCTTCCATCTTTTGTTTGGAGAAAAGATATCTGATATAGTGCCTGTGATAGATAACCATTCGGTTTAGTATTTGCCCATAAAACTCAGCATCTTTTCCCACGGAATCTTCAACCCAAAAAAAAGTTGGCAATGGAGCTGCGTGCGCAGAAGATTTTCTCTAAGACCCTGCACCCCTAACCAGGTGAAACTTGACATTGATGCCATATGAGATACGCATATTTATCTATATCTACCCTCTTTGTAACGTTAGGGGCCAACTTGATCCAATCCAACATTGTCGTATCGAGTGCTTTGTACGCTTCGGAAACTCATGGGATGACTTATCTTCCACCGGCAAGAAAAGTGAAAGGTGAGAAGGGCTTTGACTCTACTATCTGACTTGATCGTGGTTAACTTTATGATAATGGTGATATGGAGATGTATTGAGAGATGAAGACGATGCAGACCACCAAGGCGATTGGGAATCCTCATTGAAGTGAAGATAAAGGTATTATTAAAACTCAGCTCTGTAGACTACAGCGAAGGCTGAAGGTTTTTGGGGGACATAACTATCAGATGTTCAGTTTCGTCCTCCTATTTTGACGTTTTGAATAATTAAACTCAGATTTTATTTGCGGATACCACTCGAGGTTAACCCTTACGGCGTATAACCTCTTCCATGCATACCCACCACAGGGAAAAGCGTGAAAACCCTGTGGCTATCCGAGTGTGCTTTCATCATCCCACAAGTACGATATCACCGCGAGAGAGTGTGGCGTGTGGGTCTGACTGGATTCGAACCAACTTTCTCCCGTCTCAGATAACGTACCTAACTCATCTGAGACGAGAGAACAGCTCGGATGGTGTACCACTGGAGTACTGTGCCATCTAACCCACCAACTTGATGTACCAATAGACATGACGCGACGATAGTTGTACTCATGAGATAACTCCTCGAGCGTGATCGAACAACATTATATAAGTCAACTGATTTAACCATAGGTTGTGTTGAGGGCCAAGCGCCGAACATCTCCTGTTATTGATGTGATACTAAATAAAAAGCTGCAGCAAACAGTGGAAAATCAAGGCTTAAACTAGTTTGTGGAATTCTGGTTTATATCTGTTTAATGTTTGACTTTACGTATACAGTTGGAAGATTTCATGTACACGTAGTAATTTCATTCTTAGAGATTGAACAATTAGGCAATATAAACTCTAGAATATGATATGTGTGGCCTGAAATTGTCCTGTGTCGTCTATAGATTTGAAGCTTCAGCTTACGATTTCTAAGAAGAGAAATAAATCACGTAAGTTCGAATTCCAACCTGACGAGATAATAGTCCATCGTCGTAGGGCACTCTGACATTAATACTACAAATTTCACAGCCATTTTTGAAATAGTGTCTTAATTCTCAAAATGATACCTTTAAAAGACGTAAGATTAAATTGGAATTTTTTGAAATTACATAGTATTTTCTACTGTTCGCATTTGGGAATATTTCTGTTAATTCTTAGGCAAGAGTGGCGGCATCACCTTCTTTAATGCTTTGTGAATCGATAAGTCTTTTGACCTCTTCGCTCCATACACCCTTTATCTCTTGAGAAACTTTTAAGCCGGCTAGTTTTGCAGCAAGAGCTGCTGTTTCATCTGGGCTGAGCTTTCCTTGTACCAATTCGACATCCCCTAATACTTGATCGATCCTACTCGCAGAAGCTGTTTCGTCGACAAAATAATTTGCATCTTTGACGCTGCCTTTCAGGACACGGCGATTTTTCTTGACTGCAGCTTTAGCTGTTTCTTTTGCTTTCTTACCGAGCTCTCTCTCAGCCTTAGCTTTATCTTCAGCTTCTTTTGCCTCAGCTTCTTTTTTGGCCTTTGCTGCTGCTGCTGCTTCCTTCTCGGACTTTTCTACAGCCTCTTTTTCTAGCCGTTTTTTATTTTTGTTTGCTGATGCTGCTTGTCTAAACTTCTTTATTCTTTCATCGCCAGCCATGGCATCGTCAACTAACTTTCTAAGACGTGCTACATCTTCGTTTTTCTTCTTTTTCCGGGCATTATTGTTTTTCCGTTCCATATGGCGTTTTTGATCGCGGTTTTCATTGTCATCCGGAACATCCTCATCTTGGTACTCGAATGAGCGCCAAGAATCAAAATTGTAGAAGAAATTGTAGAAGTTTTCAACGTCCTCCTGTGTACTCTTTTCGTCACCAAATAGAGGAACTGGTTGTTCGCGAGAAAAACGACCTTCAGCTTTAAAAACGTTGCTCCATAATTTAAAGTATTTACCATCTTTAAGTTGTTTTTTTGTTGGAGGCTCAACGTCGGCACGTTCGTCAACTGAGTCAAACTGTCGACGTTTCACTGGATCGAGAAGAACTTCAGTTGCTTTTTGAATACACTTGAAGAAACTGTCGTCTTCTGTGCTTCCAGCAGCGGCTTTCTTATCGGGATGATGACGAAGCACCTTTTTGCGATGAGCACGTTTGATCTGCTCCTCACTCGCTTTGTACCGGTACTTTGATAGACCAAGTACTGCGTAATGATCCTGGCTCTAAGATACAAATTAATGAAGTTTTCTACAAATAATTAAATCACTTGCCTTCCAATCTTTTGCGTCTCTAAGAAGCATTGATGGATCCTCGGATTCACTTATTTCTCCGCTGTCGTCGTCTTCAACCTTCTTGACATTCTCCAGGGCCTGAATTCGGTCATCTTCGGAGAATGTGCGCTTGTGGCGAGCACGGCGAGCGTGTGCAAGGTAATGAGGGCCAACTGGCTCAAAATTACGCTGCGTAGGTTTTGAGAACTTTTCCAAGATTACGAAACTGTCTAAGGTCGTTAAATCTTCTGGCAGATGCGGCAGTGATGAGTTAATGAAAGGAATTGCCATCATTTTAACTTATGTGTTTGGAAATGATAACAATTGTTCCAAAGTATCATTGGCTCGTTGGCAAAAAAATCGGCTCAATGGCTTACAAAAAGAATTTGTCATGTTTAAAATTACGTAATCTATCCGTTTATCTAAGCCTAGGAAATCCCACAGCGCCGGTCATGTGCGAGTATAAACGAATTATATCGAAACTATAATCCAATCTGAGAACAAAAATTGCAAAGACAAACTACGCCAGCTGTGAGATGCAAAATGCATAATTAAATTTGACAAATTTTTGAAAGATTTGATTTCAAATTTCGGACAGTTATCAATCATGCTCCAAGCATACCTGCGGAGAGGACGAAAACTGAACTCTTGCTAGCGACATCCTCAACTAAACCAAAGATAAATGACTCTCTCAAGAATAAAACAAGTTAAATCCTCCGATAACGAAGAATTTGTCCGAAGAAACAATGATCCTATGTCCTCACCTTATTAAATCTCCTACTCCTAACGAGATGCATTTCGATCAAATTATCAATCCTACAAGTACGACTTACTACATCTTTACTCTAATAACTGCACCTCTTGACGACTCAGTCACTAGTCTCAGCTAGCCTGAAAGGGTCACCACGACACGATGGATATCACGAAGGTGGAATACACCGTGATGTGCTAATCTGGTGAGGTGGAACATCAGAAATGATATGAGAGATTTGATGATAAACGAACAAAAATATGATGTAGATGAATACAATATCGGAAAGAGGAAAATTTCAGCTTTCTGAAAGAGGTGATCTCGATTGTTCGCAAGACGGATCATTTGTCATAGGTAAGAGTTGCATGTAGAATGATTGGCTTAAATACAACCATAATTCGTGACTGATATCCACGTTGGGTCTTTAAATTTCAGTTTAAGACTATTACCCTTTCAACGTGTTTTCCTGAATCTGCTCCCTCTTTTGATAGCCTGTCTCAATCATACATTTTCTCGTTGGCTTCTTACATATAACAGGATTGTGAGGCATATCGTCTTATCTAATTGTTATCCTATACTATCTAAGGTTACATAGACTGTAAAGTCCTCTACCTCTAGGCCAACGATACTTGTACTAGTAGCTTAAATCTTTCCGTGCCTCCTATACAGCCCACATTAAACGGCTTCACTCCTCACAAGTCCTCGCACGATCATACGTTTTGAGAGCCTTTGGTCTTCATCATTCCCTGGCTGCAGTCAAGTAAATTATGGCTTTTCATATATGTATGGTGACCGGTGAAAACCATAAAAACTAATGGGCGTGAAGCCCTTTGAATACCGCAATCTGGGCTAAATCCTGTTGGAATTCTAGACTCAGTAAGTATAAAGGTTTAGATTTCTAGGTATGATCATCAAGATCAATTGAGTTGATTCGATTCCATATGATTAAACTTAGCTAGGCGACATGAGGTTCAGCGGTGTTGGAAATGCACTGACAGGGAAATGCTATTTTGCTATAATTGAGTGGCTGGTTATTGCTAGATCACTGAGAGTTCGGGTTCACTAAAGCCTCGGGGATCTTTATTTAAGGATAGACTTATTTCCTTGTGTTAAACTAAGTAAACGGAATATTACCTTTTATTAATTCATATTGAGAAGAGAGTTCGATATCCTATACGACTATCAATAAATTCTTGTCCGAAATTGCACATTTGTTCTTCGAGATATTTCCTAGAAATCCTTGCCAATTTCCGACAAATCCGAAGACATAGCTACCCTTCTAGAGTGTCCGGAGAGGCAGGCCAGTAAGGTGCTGCAGACTTTTATGTACATGAGAAAGTTGCTCTCTGTATTCCTTGACTCCTTCCAACTTTTTTCTTAGGATCGCGTTAACACGCCAGAAACATTTTTGACGGAGCATGTTTGCTGTAAGCAGCCTAGCATAACTTCTTCATGCTGTAATGAAATTTGGCGGGGTGCTGTAGACTCATTGATAATTAAGGTCCTCCTAGATAACTATCCGATACCAAAGTCTCGGTGCCCACAAACACTTCAATCCTGATATTTCCTCGCATTAGGTCAATCCTAGCTAGTTTTTAGGTAACCTCTACCCGCTCTAGCCCTATCTCTCAGCTGGCTGTCCTCCCTCGAGTTGGGGATCCCCATTAGAGAAATGTTCTCTGACAATCAAACACCAAGCTTTGTAAATCATGACTTAGTTCCCCCTATGCGGATAAAAGTAATGTCGTAATTTTGTATCAGGAGATATTCGGTCATTAACAAGTCAAATCCCCGTTTGCAGATGAAGCAGGTCCTTGACCGATCGTTGAGGCGAGGTGGTACATGATAAGATTGAGTTGGAAGAGTCGTGAAAGTGATAGTGACGATATTGGTCAGTAGTCGTCGATCGTGGATGTGCTTGTTTTTATTCTGACATCGGTTCGGGAGCAGCCCTTCTTTGCTATCCTAGGTATGCGGAAGGTTGTCGCCTTTTTAGGCTAAAGCCCCCAGCAAGACTTACATCTATTTGAGTCAAAATTTTATGAGTTCATGCTAGATTTTTTTGCAGGCGTTAATTGCGCTGGGATTTTTCCTCATAAAATACCGCGCACAACTTTTGCACAGCTAGGAGCCGTCTAACAAGACTGATACAGGCTTTGTTCACGAATGTTAAAATATGATTCCTCTGGACGGGTAATACAGTAGTACTGTTACTGGAATATTTGGAAGTAGATTTGATAAAGTGTAGGGTTAAATCGTTGCGTGTGTCTTCGTCTCTACGTCTACGCGCTTAATAGAAGTATCGCGATCTCGCACCCTCTAATCTATCGCTCCTAGTCTCATCCACACGCTAATATGAAACTACTAATACAGGGTATGTAAAAACAACAGACGCCTTACCCTTTTTAACTCCTAGGCAACCAATAACCACAACCCTAACTCCATTATGTTAAATTGTAGGGAAGATTATGTTTGACCAACCCTTCTTATAATTTAACAACGACTAAAATTAGCTCGGAAACGATTTCTCCTCTCCAGATTTAAGGATAACACCACTCCCAGATACTTTGTCTTGCTGCTCGGCTCGTCGCACGTTATAAACGGACTTATATTATTTTTGGAGCTTACAAACGGTTTCAAAAGGCTAAAACCTTGATTGGCCCCAGACAGAGAAATAACTCTGTCGAATTACCCTTTACGCTCCTGAACCGAACGCAAAATATGAATTAAGACGTTAAACTCAGATCTAGGTCGAAGGAACCGCAAAAAAAGGAGGTAACTTTTTGTGTACATCAACGTCTAAATCAGATTTGAATTTGTCTTAGAATATAGGTATTACATGGCATGACCTTTTTGTTGTTGACAAGTACAGTTGAAGTCGATTCACACGTAGAGCTCAATCAGGATGTTTGAAACTATCCCAATCCGAATTCAAGGCATTTGGCTGTGTGTATTATTCGTTTCCCGATAAAAATTTTCTGCCCCCTTTTTATGTTCTTGCTGTGCTAAGAGTCTGAAATGTTCATGGATTTGAGTGAGGCTATGATCTGTGTCTCGTATTTGGAGGTTTTGAAAGGCTCTGTGATTGATCTGATGGTTGCCGAGTAGAAGCGAAAAGTTATTATGTTTTTTTTTTCTTTTGCATCAGATTTGAATTGCGTATGCAGCTATCTAGCTATGACACAATATCAAAGAAAAGTACAGAAAATATGACTCAATTTACAAGAGGAGCACTCATGCCTCGGATTTCATTTGTAAGTACCACTGCGAAGTTAAAGCGGCTTTTTCTTCACCCCAAGTCAACCCTCATCCGTGAATATCCACCCAGGGGAACGTCTCAAAAACCCTGAGTTATCCAGACATGCCTCCATCATCTATAAACTTTGCTCCGCGCGAAATATGGTCTGAGATGTCTCCTTCCCAAGTGGAGTAGGTGTACAGGCTGCTCAAACCATACCAGAGAACACCACCAGGAAGCGGATCACAACACCGTCCATCGTTTGCTTGTGTTTATAGTGTTAGCTGCACTCTCGCAATCGAAGTCTTGGCGCGCACAAAGCTCAATTCGTAAATCTCTTGCCAAAATTCAAAATGACACGCCCGTAGAGTTTGTTTCCTTCTTTGCATCACCTTGTGAACTTGTCCTGATCCCTCTCACATCCATCCCAGCGAGCTATCTCCCAGTTTTGTGCTCCACGCCTTGCTTCCTCCGTCGGGTATAAATATCGGCGTGGGCGTGTATTTGGTGGTCAACTGAGGCCAGAGAAGGTTGAAGAGAGGTATGGTCATTGAAACGAGGATGTACTAGGTCGTACTTGTAAACTTGATGAAGCTTAGTTGAGTATCGGACTCTTTGGGAGTGAAAGATTGACATGGTGGAGTAATTTGAAATTTTGCCTCGTGGGCCAACTTCTTTGATATTGCGAAATTTGACTGAACTTGGCTCTGGGAGAATATTTCACTCCCAGGTTCGTAGAGGACACCGCGTACAGGTGTTCAGTCTTGCCCTCTAAGTTATAATGTTGCGGCGAACGGAATCTAAGCTGTAGCAAAAGTCGTTCATTCTCCATCTCATTTCGCCAATTTTTTTTTTTTTTTTTTTTTTTTTTTTTTTTTTTTTGCATCAGATTTTAATTGCGTATGCAGCTATCTAGCTATGACACAATATCAAAGAAAAGTATAGAATAGATGATTCAATTCAAAAGTAGAGCACTCAAGCCTCAGATTTCATTTGCAAGTACCACTGCGAAGTTATGGCGGCTTTTTCTTCACCCCAAGTCAACCCTCATCCGTGAATACCCACCCAGGGGAACATCTCAAAAACCCTGAGTTATCCAGACATGCCTCCATCATCTTTCAACTTTTCTCCGCGCGAAATATGGTCTGAGATATCTCCTTCCCAAATGGAGTAGGTGCTCAGGCTACTCAAACTATACCGGAGAACACCACCAGGAGGCGGACCACAACACCTTCCATCGTTTGCTTGTTTTTATAGTGTCAACTGCACTCTCGCAAGCGAAGTCTTGGCGCGCACAAAGCCCAATTCGAAAAACTCCTTACCAAAATTCGGAGTCTCATGCCCTTCGAAGTTATATCCTTCCTCTGTATCATCTTGTCAACTTGTCCTAATCCCTCTCACGTCCATTCCAAAGAACTGTCTCCCAGATTTGTGCGCCACGCTTTGCTTCCTCCATCGGGTATAAATATCGGCGTGGGCGTGTATTTGGTGACCAGCTGAGGCCAGAGAAGGTCGAAGAGTGGTGTGGTCATTGGAATGAGGATGTACTTGGTCGTACTTGTAGACTCGATGAGACGAAGATAGGGGTCAAACTTGTTGGGAGCGAAATAACGAAGTGGATGAGTAATTTGGATTTTTGCCTCGTGGGCCAACTTCTTTGATATTGCGAAATTTGACTGAACTTGGCTCTGGGAGAATATTTCACTCCCAGGTTCGTAGAGGACACCGCGTACAGGTGTTCAGTCTTGCCCTCCTCATTTCGCCAATGTAGGTCTACATTAAACTACAAAAACACAACTACCTGTCATGGTAAATTTCCTTGCGCCAGTTTATACTCCTCACATCTTCAATCAGGGACCTGATACGATAGTTGGAGATTCTATCTTTCTTTGATTTCAAGTCGTAGACTAGAGTATTTGCACAAACTACTGAGCTCTTACGAGTAACTTGTCCACAAAATATATCACTTAAACAGGGAAACTCTTATAGTTTCGAGGGCTCTAGAATGAAATGCTTCTAAAAAAAATTGTAATGTATCGAGATCTACAGAGGCAATCATCCGTGAATCAATTAACTTAGAATACTGTCTGTTCCATTTACCCACAGGAATAAACGGCGTTACATTAAAATTTGCGAAGCTTGACTCTAGTTCACGAAATTTTTTATTGAATTTTGGTCACTCTACAGGCTTTTTAGGGTTCCAGCGATCATCAATTGTTAGATTACACTTGTTCTATATTATCTCATCAATTTCACGTCATAAATCTGTCAGAAAGTTGACAAATAAACAAAGCCTTCACATTGAAATGGCAATCACCTACAAATTCACCACGAGAGATTCCTTTTTACGGTCATCAATCGGTTGAGTACAAGTATTGTAATAAGAAACAGTGTATTTTTCTCTTTGGTCTAGGCCCACCAATAACGTGCTACCTGGTCATTGCCTCTAGTATTTTCGTGGATTGCGACCCCTGTTCGATCCTATCATTTATATGGGGCAAAAGCTAAACCTCACGCGGAATGATTGGATTCGTAGCCAACTAGACGTAAACGAGGTTATGTCATCTAGTCCAATTTGATGCTGGATGCTTAAAGCTAGTCTATATTTGCACATTTACCAAAAGTGTCGATTAGCCTTATTTTACGTATACGTAAGGTTAGTTCAATGCAAAACGAAAGGTACGAAAGTGAGGTATGGATTCTTGTTGTTATTCTTTCTATCTATGAACACTGCGAACGTCCAGTTCGCGGTGTTGGCTGAGTCATCAAGACAATGACTCAGCAAGAGAAAGATGCACTGCACTAAGCGCCTAGTAAAAGACATACATTCCAACAAAAAGTAAATTTCTTTAGTTTCAGCAATCCTTACTAAGGCTTCTTTTAGGGATCATAACATGGCACTTGCCGCGTATAGGCAGCTCCTCAGATCGATCCGCATCGCATTTCAAGGTATGTTAAAGATACTATGGGCTAGAAACTATTTTCATACGCCTCGCCTAGATTTTATGTCCCGCTGCTTCTAGACCTAATTGTCATCGATGGACCTCTAAGTCAAAAAGATATTAGGCCCCTTAGCCGGCCACTCACCTTATTAAAAGGCCAAAATATTTGATCAAAACTTATTTTCGTATAGATGATATAACCCTTCTACAAGCCTCACGAATGAAGGCTCGTGCTGAGTTTGATGAAAAAATCAACCTATCGATAGCCTCTCCCTTGTATTCGACCGCAATAACGCATGCACTCGATGTTTCTCGCGTCCTACGGGAAAATGTTGTGCAAGGTCGCAGACTTAAAAACGATGCAGAAGATCAAACTGCGAGATATAGTAAGCTAGTTTTTCCCTCTCTTTTTTTCCCTAAAGACATCAGTGAGACTTCCTCATCGCCTTAGTTTTTTCTCTATGCGCTAGGACATCGAGGCATATAAAAATAGATCATGTGTTCGCAGCTAATATTTTGGCTAAAAGAACTACGCATTCACAAGTACACAGAACGCGGTGACAATGACAGTGTTAAGCTTACCTGTGGTCAAATAAAACCTAAAGATGAGAGTTAGAGCGCCAAATCGTAACTTTTACTAGACTTAAGTATTGATGATCAGAATGTTATTCTAAAGAGAGGATATTGAGGTCTCATACTTCTGTAGAGCCAACTTTAAAATAATTGACCGTTATTGTAAGAATAGAGATGTTGGATTAAGTTTGGAGCTTGTTTACTGCAGCGCTTACTTTAAATCGAAGAATATATCCTAAAAAGGGACAGTGATATTTTAATGAGTACTTTATTCCGGTAATCGTAAATTTTGGTGGTTTTGTAGTATCCCTCAAATATCATGAGTATACTGGTGAGAATTATGTGATGTAGAGACGTGTCATTGAAAAGAACATCGACATATATTTATTCTGTTCTGAGCGGTAGTGCCATAGCTAGTTTCTCTTCATACTCTTTGGGAAGGGCATCGACTTTTCTTCCTCTTTAAGCAGTATTAGTACTATCCGCAGAAAATGCAGCTCGACCTTCTCCTGCGACAGCCATACGTTCATCTTTCTCCATCAGCCCAATTGGCTTAGGTTTACCCCATCTTACCCTTAATGGGACTCCGGCAATAACAGCTCGCCCTTGACAATGGAGCGCGGCTGCTTCAGCATCTTCTCGCGTTTGAAAATTAACAAACGCGCAATGACTAAGATGGCTACAGACGAGTGATCTGATCAGACCGAGCGGGGCAAAGAAAGCCCTTATCTTGTATTCGGGGAGATCATCTTCGATTCCGGTGATGAATAAGGAAGTAATGCTTCGATCTCTTGGGGGTAGAATATCCGATACGGTTGGAGGGATTTGGGCTGTGCTAGGAAATGGCTGAGACCCGCCCCGGCGAGGAATACCAGTCCTTCCTTGCGAGTCTCGTGTTCGAACGGGTCCTCGCGAGGACAAGCTGGCGGGACTTTCGCTGTTTACTCCAGGTTTTTCTGCAGGCTCAATTCGTCGCTGTCTTTTAAAGTATGGTTCCGAATTGGCTAAGCGCCTTAAGAGCTGTCGTGCCTTTTCATCTGTTTTCTCATAGGCTTCAGTACCACCTCTACCATCTTCGATTTCTTTCTCATGCTCTTGAGCGTAATATTCTCGATTCACTGAGCTTTGAGGACCAGGCGCTACCATTTTTAAAGCAGCATCGCGCACCACAATAGGTAATGCAAATGCAAGATCGAGCATGCAACACTGACAACAATTTTTTAGACGCGCGCATGTAAGACAGATATTGGTATGCTTTGATCTCGACGTGCGATCGGCCTTCCATTGAAAAACGGTGTATGGACGAGTACAAATCTTGCATTCTGCACTAGAAAGTCTTAGCGGCATGTTTATGGAAGGCAGTAAAATAATTCTTTGTATAGACCTTTATTTTAAGATAGATAGGTTGAGTCAATACGTACCCATGATCATCCTTCAAGACTTTTACGTATGATGTCTCTGGTAAGCAGTTTTCACATACGGATGGAAAGTCTGTAGTTTCCCATCCTGATCTATTGAGGTCCTGTTTTATCTGTGGCGGCATAACTAGGAGTGATAAAAGATTTTGCAGTGATGTAGCCTGGCGGCCAGGGAAAATACAGATATGGTATCTCCGATGGAACACCTCGGCTGTTAATCTTATATTCGAGTACGGCGATTGCAGATAGATAAAAATGTGACAAAAGTTTTATTGGTGTAAGTGGGTCCTAGAGAATGGCGGGAGTATGCGCTAGGAGACTACAGTTATTAGATTAATGAGTAGGTAGTTGATAAGTACTAATGATGTGGATGCCTACATGGGCAAAGTGCTCAGTGTTTGTGATGAGTAAGCATCAAGCACTAAGTGAGGAAAGACGGCCATGGTAGAAATCATTACAGGATAAAGGAGGTGATTATTTTCAAAATCGACTCAAACCAAGTAGTGGTAGTTAATTATTTGAACCAGTTGCTCGAACGTTTTCTGGATAGCTGCGCCGCCCATCCAATTTGATCTAGATTGATGCTAGTTTCAACTTGACTTTAAGCATTGAGGTAACTCGACACTATACACCTCTCTTTCCATTATTTTATTCTAGATAGAGAATGCGTATAATTGCAATCGAAGTTTTCAATCTCATTTTTGGAGTCTGTTATTGGGTGAATTTACTCTGTTTTGGAGGCAAACACACATAAGAGCATTGAGTTAGTGATGATTATTCAACGCACGTTAAATACTATCTAGTACACTGAGTTCTTCTTGTACCCAGGTACAAATTAGTTAATAATGTTTGCTTTTCTTGCAAATAAGACAACAGGCAGAAAAAGGACTTCCTATAGAAACAGATCCTCATATATCCACCGGAACCTTGATAGGGCCTAAATTAGTATTGCAGTTCAGATAAGAAGTGAGCACGTTAGTCTCAATACTGATCTGTATCGAAGGAAAGTCCCTGGAGTGATTAATCCAAAATGTCAAACATATGGTCTTGGCGTGTCCTCAGTGGGCAATGGGAAGAAGACAGGTGCTTCGAAAGGCAAAATATAGGTCATTTGCGGCATTTATGAACAGCCTAGATGATATAGAGAGAATCACGAAATGGATCCTGGCAAAAGGCTGGTTTGAACAATTCCGGCTTGCAGGAGAAGTAGAAATAGCACTGGACGAAAAGATGAGACGATGTGGACAAGGAAAGGACGGAATTCACACTGTATAGACAGTGTAAACGCACTTCCTGTAGGAAACCTCAGGAAACCAATAGACACGGGACAGACAGTTGTGGGGGTTTTTACCGAATTTGGTTTCCTCCTGTGTAAATATTATAGCTAGATATACCTGCATGGGCCCATAGGGTACCTAAACGGGCTAATTGAAATCAAATCAAATGGTTGCTTTTATTTATTACTTGGAAAGATCTCTGAGATGATGCCTGATATGGATAACCATGCAGTGTTGTATCTAGCTATAATATTTACACAGGAGGAAACCAAATTCGGTAAAAACCCCCACAACTGTCTGTCCCGTGTCTATTGGTTTCCTGAGGTTTCCTACAGGAAGTGCGTTTACACTGTCTATACAGTGTGAATTCCGTCCTTTCCTTGTCCACATCGTCTCATCTTTTCGTCCAGTGCTATTTCTACTTCTCCTGCAAGCCGGAATTGTTCAAACCAGCCTTTTGCCAGGATCCATTTCGTGATTCTCTCTATATCATCTAGGCTGTTCATAAATGCCGCAAATGACCTATATTTTGCCTTTCGAAGCACCTGTCTTCTTCCCATTGCCCACTGAGGACACGCCAAGACCATATGTTTGACATTTTGGATTAATCACTCCAGGGACTTTCCTTCGATACAGATCAGTATTGAGACTAACGTGCTCACTTCTTATCTGAACTGCAATACTAATTTAGGCCCTATCAAGGTTCCGGTGGATATATGAGGATCTGTTTCTATAGGAAGTCCTTTTTCTGCCTGTTGTCTTATTTGTAACAATATTTGCGGCTTTCCAATGTTCAGGGTCTGCCGAAGCTCGATGACCAGATAGTATCTCGTTCCCGAGACGAGTTCGTGAGTCTTTCCACTCCTGAAACGCGGCCACCTTACCGGCTTCTTTTTATCTCCCTTTCGCATTCTTTATGCCACGAACTCTGGTTCATTATTCAATGTCTTGCTTTCGATTCTTGGCGTGCCTATTCACGGTTCCCCTTGTGGTCTGCTTGAGTTTGCTGCACGCAGGTAGTATCGATCTCCTGACAGGTAGTCCTTCGGATAGCCCGACGTGTTGGACCCTCCTTTACTTTAGGTAGATATCTATTGGGAGAATCGAAGACTCGTATTCTAGTACCCTATTGCTGGTAGGGTTATATGACCTTGTAATAAGCTTCAAGCATTTTCGTTGGATACTTCGCAGTGGTTTGACTATCCTTTCTAGTATTTTACCCGCTGGCCAAAAAAAAAACACTTGATATTATCTAAAAGTACACATCTTTTTCAAAACAAATTGCTCTATATTACAAAAATATACATCTGTGGCGGCTAGTAAGCCGGTAGATTGCCTGTAGTCTGTGCTATTCATCACATGCATACTCATTACCTCAGCGCTAAGATACGACTGGTATTGAAAGTCTGGTACTGCCCGTGCATGAAACATCGTTGGTAACCAGCCCACACTTTAATAGTGGGAGCCGGACTAGAGGACAGAGACTAGTGTTTGAAATATTGGAATCATGTATATAAATAGGGCGTTGAGTTTAGCAGTAGTCTTGTTCTTCAGTTAGTAAATAAACTTACCTTTCGAGATACAAACGCCTAAACTTTATATACCGGAACCGTTACAGCATCGAAGCCCTCAGTATGGCTCGCAACTAAAATGAAAGCGTACTACATGTTTTGTATTATTCTGCTCCATCCCAATACTTTGTATACCCTCCATTTGCCTTTTTCACTGTTACACATCTTTCGTGAATGTTAACCGCACTTAATGGAGGCTTCCTCCGAGCAATGCATCTGCTGTAACCTATTTTATTGAGGGCATTTTAAATTAAACGCTCACTGAATCCCCAGTGGCTGAAAGGTCCCATCGCTAGTTCAAATAGCCCATCTATCGATTTTCAGGAGATTCCCGGATGAAAGCCTCAAGCTCATCAACTTGTTCCGCGTATAATTTTGGCGAGCGTCCTCTGCGAGGTATATGATTCTCATCCTATCGAACACACGCTAGGTATACTTGCCTTATTGTGAAGCCAAGCTTGTCGGTTATATACTGTAACTTCAAGCCAAGTCTTCTAGATGTTCTTATTCCAAAACATGGATGGCGAGTTAGCTGCTTGCGAATTTTGGTTTCTAAAGCAGACTTTTCGAGAGACATTGTTTGCTAGAATAGAGGATAAACTGATAGTGATGTTAAGATTCAAGGGCTGCTTTGTTTTGTTTTGTTCATTGTAGTGCTAGGTTACAAGACTACCGCTGCACTCCTACTGGAGCTTAAGCACGGGTGGGGCCGAGCTGGATCAAGTTAACTACTATTAAGTACATCTACCTCGTCCCACCTAAATGACCGGACCACCTCAGACTTCACCCATGTGTTGAATCATGTCAAGCCCAACCGTCCAGAGAACCCCCTTTTGGTGCGCCGAAGCGCTAATTCCTCCTCAGCCTCGGCCACCACGCGCCCGAGCCCTTGACACCTTCGCCATCTGTAGCTTTTCCCTTCCATTCATTCCCAGCTTTGGCTCATCTCATCCAGGGGTCAATTTCTTCACTGGAGGCCTCATCTAGTCGCCCACTAAGCCCTCCTCAGTTTGTATTCCCTTTTGGTTCCTTCATGTAGCCTCCCTCTATCCTTCAGCCGATCTCGTTGTCCCAGAGACTTTGTACAATGTCAAGCCCTCAGGCCTTGCCCCGTCGCTGCTGTACCCCTAACCATGGAGGTCGCAAACGCGACTGAGAGCTCAAGACCGAAGCACCGAAGCCCCAGCCTTTGTCGAATGCTATAGATGGTGTGCCGGCGAAATGTCCTACGTATTTCGTCGGTGGCGATTCATCGCAGGTCGAGTTGTTGGCGCCCTTGGCCGAGGTGAGGACGCATCTAAGGCCGGTTTTTCGACCGTACCTTCACAGCGACTGGCAGTTGCGGAGAGTCGGTCACCTTCTTGCTTCTTTGTTGGCGATTTGGCTTTTGGAGGTATGGGATTGCTTTGGTAGGTGGTGAGATGATTGTGGAGAGGGCCGCGAGATGTGTTTGGCTGGGAATGAATTTCCAGAGAAAAGAAAACAAGATGTTGAAGGTGTCGGTTTTTGTGATACGAACATCAGACATGTTATAGGCTGTCTGCGGTTTGTACCTGGGGTGTAGATGGTTGATTTTGTTGAGCTGTGCAGTTGTGAAATCTCTGGAAGTCGGATTTTCGACCAAAAATGAGCTAACACCACTCCTCCCGATCGCCAACTCGACGAAAAATCCCAAATTCACCCTTTGTCGTGACTGAATCTCGGCTCTGGGAGAATATTTCACTTCCAGGTTCGTAGAGAGCACCAATGACAGGTGTTCAGCCTTCGTCCTCCCCAATCAAGGGCTTTGTTGGTTAGGAAGTCAAAATTGTCGTTGACAATGCGGTTCTCTAGTTGATTGTTTGAAAATGGCGATTGGACCGTACGTCATGGCGAGCGGGGTAATATAGAGAGACAGTCTAACCTATTGCGAGCTAGCCTCACTGCACCCACAGGGCAATTACCTTTAACAGCCCAGTTTCAAGCTTAACATCTCGAATCCTAGAGGCACGATAAGAGCTAACAGGGGTCTATTCCCTGAAGCGAATATTCGACCAATTTAAATCCACTGTAAACTTAAAATCATTTTTTTCCTCACCAGATCCTAATTGCGTATGCAGCTATCTAACTATGACACAATATCAATGAAAAGTACACATTAGATGACTCAATTTAAAGGAAAAGCACTTTTGTCTCGGATTTGATTTGCAAGTATCACTGCGAAGTCATGGAGGCTTTTTCTTCGCCCCAAGTCAACCCTCATCCGTGAATACCCACCCAGGGGAACGTCTCAAAACC